CCTTCGTGGAGTCCAGAGATCTGAGTTCTTGAGAATAAAGCCACTGGGCCAGGGAACGTCACCTTTCAATCCTGGTAGAGCACTAAAATTTCCTTGCAAGGCCGACCAATGAATAACAGTAATGAAACCAATACAAAAGACCTTTCAATTACACTGTGCTTTATAGCACACAAAGCTCTTATTTAACCTTCAAGAAACTCTTGAGGACTGGGTTTTCAAAATTATTGTATTATTATTATCATCACTATTATACAGGTGAAGACACCAAGGAGTAGAAAGATTAAGTGACAAGCCTGGTATAGAAGGCACATGGCTCAGTAAATATTTGATGAGTAAAAGAGAAAGGAATGAATAAACGAACCAGGGCTCACACCCCGCTCTTACAAGTGCAAATCCTGTGCTCTCTGCACTCTAAATGCTACCTTTTGCGAATTTCTCTGTAGCTCCCACACCTCCTGGTGGGCGTGCCTAGTCTATCCCAGGGGAAGCTGGGATTAAGCTTTCAAATATTGCCTCTTTGTTCTGCAGATGTGAAATTTATGTCTTGAAATTCCAAGAAGGAAAATAATGGCATTTTGTTTCACTGGCTCTTAAAAATATGCTGTGTTCCAAAAGGTTGAATCTATAAACATTACTGGAAAATGTGGAAATGGATGCCAGGAATTCCTCAGCACCATGTCTGCCTGAGCCAGGATATGGCTGCTGCTCCTGTAGATTATGGGTTGAGAAATATTGCTATTGGACACTTGATGGAAATTTTAAATCCCTTGAAAATATGACTCCATTGGGAGATCTTGACAAGAGACACACAGGCAGCATTTAAACTTTTCTATTGATCCTTCTTTTGTGGCATGCCCAGAAGCCCTACCACTGAGCACTTACAAGATTTATCTGTTTTCCCAACTTCCAGCTGGAGGAATCTCTAGAGTATCTTGAAATTTCCTAAAGTTGTCCTCCCACAAAATGAACCACAGGATTTAAAAGGTCAACAGATGTTTCCAGTCTGAGTTTTAAGGCTTCCAATAATGAACTACAGGTAGATTATGTACATTTTGATTACAGGAGGGAAAATTACAAAGCACACTGGATAGTGAGATCTGAGCAAAGGTGGATGCATGAACTGTTTATAGAATTCTTGCCTAGCCTCTTCTATTCCCTTGAGAATCAGGAATGATCTTAAACCTGAATTAGACTTTTCGAAAGCTACACTAATCGATGGCAAGATCCTGACTCCCACTGCAGATCTCGTAGTGCTTCTGGAGAATGATAGCAAGGGTAAAGAGTCCAGTTGAGATGGTAATTAATTTAGTGAAATCTTCATGCTCTCTTCAACTGACTGAACCTAAAATAAACTGATAAAGACTTGCCTGAATTAACCTGAGGTGCTAATTACATCATTTGATTGCATCCATATTACAGGATCCAAAAGAAATTACAAAAAAAAGTACACTGAGGGATGACAGAGAAGAAGGAAAGATAAGTCCAGAATGTGCAAGCCAGGAAATAAAGACCATAGTAATTCTACTTCTATAGATTGGTAAACTCAAGGTAACTGTTTGCAACTTTGATGTATATAGGAATCTTCAAGTTTATGGAAAAAGTACAAACCTGGGATCCTGAAATTCCCTGCATGCTTCAGCAGCTGCCTGTGGAATAAATGCAATTCATGTTTTCTTGGCAAATAGGAGAAGCTATTAAATTTAGGTAACCATGAGGATCCGTAAAATGCCACACTCAAAGTCTCTGGCCACATTAGAAACTTTTAATTTTCACCTTTATGTGTTTTAGAAAATAAATACTAAGAAAATGCTCAACCCTTTGCCCAAGTTACGGTTTCTTAAGGAATGTTTGCACAGCAGATTTAAGGTTACAGAGAGGAGGCTGGCTAAGACATAGTGTGCCTACTAATTGTGTTTTACATATAAGGAAATTTTACTGCCTGGTACACAGGTATGAAGGTGTCCTCTCTGTCTGGCCTCATGGCCAATCTCCAAGACAGCAACACGTGTACCCAGTCTTTAGGCCTGAAGGCGGCAAAAGGTGTGATAAGATTTAAATACGGAACCACATGGCAGAGGGCTGGAAGGGAGCAGCCTCGGTTAAGACACAGTGTTCCTAAATTGCCTACTTTTGGCTGACAGATGCTCCCAGCTGGCCGATGTGCAAGTCTGCAACTTGCAAAGTAGGCTGGAAAGATGGTTTTGCTTGCCAAAACCAAAGCAAGTAGGCAGCTAGCAGACAGAGCTAAGAGATGTGGTGCATTTTGTTGACTGCTTTTAATACCCTGCCTACTTGGAGGCATCACACTGGGCCTAGGAGGGATTGTAACTTAGTTACGCTCACCCACCTGAAAGGTACAGCTCTGGGTAGAGAGTGAAAATCCCGTGAGCCTAACAGCACTCTTGCAATTCACCTTCACATAAAGGCTTCCCTGGCTTTATCAATCAGACTATAGTGGTTTTCAAAATGTGGTCCCTGGATCACAGTATCACCTGGGAACATGGCAGATATGCAAATTCTTAGGCCTTACTCCAGACCTACAGAGTCAGAAACTCACAGAGTAGGCCGGCAAGCTTTCCAGGTGATTCTACTGCATGCTAGAGTTTGAGAACGTCTGGTTTAGACCAAACCAATCAGGTAAACCATGGTCATTAGCACTGGTGGGGTATAGCTACTTATCCAAGAGTGAGGGGAAGTGGAAGGGAAGAAGAGAGGGAGACACACACACACACACACACACACACACACACACACACACACGTACAGAGAGAGAGAAACAGAGGTGGGGGGTCTATATAAGGGTAGCATTCACTCTACTGATGGCTGTCTGTGTGATAAAATTAAGGTGCTTTCAGCCACACACGGTGGCTCATGCCTGTAATCCCAGCACTTGGGAGGCAGGCGGATCATGAGGTCAAGAGATTGAGACCACCCTGGCCAACATGGTGAAACCCCATCTCTACTAAAAGTACAAAAAAAATTAGCTGGTATGGTGGCACGCCCCTGTAGTCCTAGCTACTTGAGAGGCTGAAGCAGGAGAATCGCTTAAAGCCAGGAAGCAGAGATCGCAGTGAGCTGAGATCGCGCCACTACACTCCAGCCTAGTGACAAGGCAAGACTCTGTCTCAAAAAAAAAAAAAAAAAAAAAAACCAAACCAAAAAACAACTAAGGTGCTTTCATATGTGTAGCCCAAATGAAGTGAGATAAGACTTGCCAGGGACAAAGGAACACTAGGTGAGAACACAGTAAAGTTCGTAAGAGGTTTGTGGTCTTCAGAAGAAAGCTGCCCCAGCAGGACAAATGTCAAGTAATAGGACATAAAGGCGAATGGGGCCAGGCGCGGTGGCTCACGCCTATAATCCCTTTGGGATTTAGCAGAACTTTGGGAGGCTGGGGCGGGTGGATTACTTGAGGTCAGTTTGAGACCACCCTGGCCGACATGGTGTAACCTTGTCTCTACTAAAAATCTAAAAAATTAGCCGGGCATGGTGGTGCGTGCCTGTAATCCCAGTTACTCGGGTGAGGCCAGAGAGTCACTTGAACCTGGGAGGAAGAGGCTGCAGTGAGCCGAGACTGCGCCACTGCACAGCAACCTGGGCAAGAGAGGGAGACTCTATCTCAAAAAACCAACCAACCAACCAACCAGCACAAAGGTAGGCGGACGGCTGCCCACTCAGAGGAAGCAGCTGTTGTCTCTCTTCCTGCATGGGTCTATTTTGCATTCACACCTTCTGATCCTCATTTGAAACTTCTCCATTGTGCTAGAGACAGAAGAGAGTGGAAAACAGAAGTGGGCCTGAGAGAGAGGAGAAGAGACAGCGGGTGGGAGCAGGCCATTACTGGCTTTAGCGGACAGAGCCACTCCACCACAGAGAGTCGTGCAGAGATGGAAGATTCCTTACAAGTCTCTAGTTCAACCTCCATTAAGTGACAGGGTCCTTATCATCATCATCCTGTCATGGTCATCACCACCATCAAGCTAGAGTTCAGTGAGTAGACTCCTGAATGCCAAGTACCATGCTAGGTATTTTATGTGTATTATTTCTAGTCCTCCCAACAACCCTGCAAGCTTGATGGCATTACATCACTGTTTGGACAAGGAAACTGAAGCTCAGAGAGGTAAGCAGCAGGTCCAGTGTTAGAGAGGCCTCCCTCCCCACTGTATCAACATTTAACAGCATTACTCCAAACATGCCTGCCTGGTGATCCCCATCCACTGGTGCCTGAGTGCTCCCAGGGACAAAGTACTCTTTACATGTGAGGGCAACTCATCTTTGGGTTGCTGTAATGTTCTTCCTTTTACTGGAGCCAAAATCTACCCCCTGGCAGAGTTCACTAGCTGGTCTTCAAGTTGGTCCTAATTCCATCCCTGTGACTCCACAGGACATGTCTTTACCCCCTTTTAAAACTGATAGCTCTTCTAATACCTACACAGAGTTTCAGGATCTTCACTTCCTCCGGCTAAAAAGCCTGGGTTCTCTTCCCCACTCCTTGTTTATATTCTAGAAAGGCAGAGAGGCTCTCACTGTAAAGCCACAAAGACTCATATGCTTCAACAAACATTATATGCCGGGATGTTATTCTTTATGTTGCTGAAGACTCTTAGAGCTATTGTATTTTTGCAACTGCAGGCATAGACATAAATCAAAAGCTCCATTATTCCTCAACCATGCAAGAAAGCACAAAGAGGTCACAGAGTAACTGTATCTGGGGCCCAGAGGGAACCCATCTTCTGATGTTTCCAAGATAAGCCCTCTCTGGAGAATGAAATGAGTTGTGTGCCATTAATGTTGCTGTACCTTTAGAAATACCGGCCACAGCCCCACAGCCTTGGGTCCCACCCCCACCAAATATAGCATTGAGGTGGAAAACTGAATTTTAGAATCCTATATTGGATTCTAAAAGGAATCTCTTTTAGCCCAAAGGAATCTCTGAACCCTTGTTTTGAATGATGGAGATGGAGCTTGCCAGCCTCATCCACAGGATGTGAGACTCTTACCCTGCAGCTCCCTGGTCCGGGACCTTGAGGAAGTCCAGGCTCTCAGGCGTCTGTGACACTCGGTCAGAACCGGTAGACTGCTGCCGTGGCAAGGGCGGGCGGGCCATGGAAGTGTACAGGCTTTTCTGATTGGACCTCTGGCTTCCAGGAGCATGGGGTTGTGGCACAAACTGGTTTCTGATGACTCCGTTCTGATGGTATCCTGGAGAGAGGAAGACAGAAGGAAATAAGGCTTACATTTTTGGATCCTTTGCCAAAAGTCTCTCCATATTTTTTCCATGTACTAGTCAAGTGCAGCTTACTTAACTTCTGAGTCTGTTTCCCCATTTGAAAAAAATAGAAGGCATCACTGCTAACACATTGTGAGAATTAGAGCTGATGCACTGTTCCCCCGACTCCTGGGCTTTATTGAGGTGTAACTCACAAATAAAATTGTACGTATTTAACATGTAAAACAAAGTGTGGTAAACTTCCCGGGATGTGCCCAGAACACAGTGGACACTCAGCATGTGCTTGGTGATGACAGAATCCCCAGATTTCCCGGGATTCAAAGCCCACAGTAAGAAAAGGTAAGCTTACAGCTGGCTGGGAGACACCTTCTTGGGCCTAAGAAAAATTATGAGGTTATGACTCGAGAGGGCTGGCAGGCAGTTGTTTAAACAGCTGGACATAAATTTTCAAGGGGTCAGTCTTGGGCATCCATGGCAAGGAGCACGCTGTGTGAGGCAGAGGGTGTGCTCCACACAGGCAAGGGAAATGTGGCCACCCAGTTGGATCAGTCTGTCTGAGCAAGCTGTCTCAGCTGAACACGGCTGTCTAGTTAAAATCGCATTAGCCAATAAGTAATGGGTTACAGTGACGTGCTCCAAACCATGCGTCTTGGCTGAATCAGCCATCAGCATACCATGCTATGTATGAAGAGGCCCTTATTCATTCTCCCACTGACAGATCCGAGCTGAGTGGAGAAAGATAATAAGACTATTCAAGGCCCACTTTGGTGAACTCCACCCAAAAAACTCTTCCAACCAAATTAAGAGAACTCTTTGGTACTAATGGGATGATGATGCTTTTATAAGAAAGACTAGGGGTTCAGTTGTGGCTCTGCCTCTGACACCTACACTGATCATGAGCAAGAGAGCTGATCTTTGAGTGTCAGTTCTTCATGAAAGAACCACGAGGTTGGTCCAGAATCCGCTTGGTCGCTTCCAGCTCTGACATACATCTTTATTATTGCAGAAACAGGGTTTTTCCTGTCCGGTAATAATAAGTAGCATTCTTTCTTTGAACCACGGTTTTCTCGGAGCTTTCAAGAGGGTGGCTCTTCATCTAGCCATGTCTCCAGCAATTTCCTCCCACAGGTCACCAGATCAGATCAGAACTAGACATTTGGAGCAAACAGCTTCTCTTCATCTTAACTCGTCCTTCAGTCAGTGAGAGCCGAATGGACTCCCACAGGGTTGGGAGCGGGGGAACGGAGGGAGGGCAGAAGGATCCCTCTTGCTGCATAAGGTCCCAAGGAAAGGAGAGGGGCATCTTAAGAGTGTGACATGCCCTCGGGATGTCACATGCCCAGTGATAAAAGTGGGGTCCCCACAGCGGCTGCCCCACATGCTGCTCGAGATCCCCTTGTCCACAATAAGGTCAGAAGTTAACAGTAAGCATTTAGACACGTTCATGGCGGTTTGACAGATCTATTTCATGCTTGCTGAATCTTATGATAAGAAATTTTGGCTTATATATACTTTGAAAATTCCATTCTTCTACTAGTTCATTTTTATTATATCATACAAACATATGGTTTGTGATCGACTGGAAATTTTTTTTAACCCCCTCTAAAGCCCCTGGTCTTTCACCACAGGCAGTTTGAGAAGTGCTGGTCGAATGGATCCAGGTCCCATTGTCTCATTGACGAAGGAATTGTCACTTAGAGAGTTAGCGAGCCCTGCTCAAGGTCAGAAACTTTGTGGCCTCATTTGATCTGAGGCTACTTCAGCCAACCTAGCTGAGGCCAGCGAGCTTTCCAGGTGGACGTGGCCGGAATTCTCCACTGGAACCAGTACACTTGCAGTAATACGATACTACAGCACTGCTCTGAAGTTCCTTTGTGCTTGGATTTTCTTCAGGGAAAAGGAGGAGACAGGGCCAGGTCGAGGCAGGATGGGGACTCCAAAAACAATGAGAATTAGTTTCTCACTGCTGGGTACCAGGGTCCATACCTTACCATGCAACTGTGAGATTCCAGAGACTAAAGAAGTGTCTTTTTAATTTTTTCTTCTGGAAATATGAAATGAAAGTTCCAGAAATGAACAATTCCTAAGGTTTAGGTTGTGTGCCATCCCACTCTGTCCCGTCAGGACACAAATCATCCCTTTGCCCAGCCTATCCGTGCTGCGTGTACTACCCCTCATCAGTCACTAAGCAGCCGTCTTGTTTTTCCTTTCTTTTCTTCATTCTTTTTTTTTGAGATGTAGTTTCACTCTTGTTGCGCAGGCTGGAGTGCGGTGGCACGATCTCAGCTCACCGCAACCTCCGCCTCCCAGGTTCACGTGATTCTCCTGCTGCAGCCTCCTGAGTAGCTGGGATTACAGGCATGCACCACTATACCTGGCTTATTTTTTGTATTTTTAGTGGAGACGGGGTTTCTCCATGTTGGTCAGGCTGGTCTCAAACTCCCCGCCTCAGGTGATCCGCCCACTTTGGCGTCCCAAAGTGCTGGAATTACAGGCATGCGCCACTGTGCCCCGCCTGTCTTGTTTTTCACAATGGCCCCAGGATGCTGGCGATTTGGATATGCCAAAGAGAACCCATTAAGTGCCTCCTTTAAGTGAAAGGGTGAAAGTTCTCAACTGAATAAGGAAAAAAACCTGTATACAGAGTAAGATCATAGTAAAAACATAAGATCATAGTAAAAACAAATCTTCTATCTGTAATATTGTGAGGCAGGAAAAAAATTCCTGCTAGTTTTGTGGAAATCTCAAACTGCAAAAGTATAGATGAGTTTTGGTAATATCTACATTTTCAAGCCCCCACTAGGGGTCTTGGAATGCATCCCCTGAGGATAAGGGGGACTACTGTAGTGGTATTTGGCCAGAGCTGGGTAGTGGTAGTGGGGTGAGACCTGACAAACTCCTATTTCCATAAAGCAGCATCCTATGTCTTAAAAGCTGATAAGTCTGATGGTCACGGACAAGGAACTCCTTTCTCTCTATCAGAAGCCTTTCCTTAAGGGAGTAATATTTCGAGGTAATGAAAACTCAGCCACAGTTCAGGCTCACTGACTCCTACTTTCCTGAATTTGGAGGTCTCAAGCAGGGCTGCTGTGTTATACATCTGGCACTGAAATGGTCCATGCCTGGTTAATACGTGTGCATTGATTTGCTAATGGGTTTCTTCCCAAACATAATTTATAGGTTATGGGTCCAGATTTAGTGGTCTGAGACTATGGCACATGGCTGGCTTACCTGGGGGAGGAGGAGCAGCTCTCATAGGGTAGTTGGCATTTTGAGTCCCACTGGAATAACCCCTATTTTGGGTAGTGTTCCTTCTGGTAGGACCTGAAATAAACAAGCAAGACAAAGTTAAAATCAGTGCTACTGGTTGGTTTTATGGCTCCTCGTGGTTCTTTGCATATGCAAAATTTTTGAGAGACTTAGAGTCCAGTTCTCAGGTGGCTCTGCAGGAGAACAGGTGCAGCAGAGAAGGGGCAGTGAGGGAAGGATGCAACGGTAGCTATATGGTGGGAGGGGCCGGAGGATAGGTTCACAGAGGTACAGTTTTGAAATGTTAGAGACAGTAGCTTTTAAAGAAGGACTGGTAATCTTACAGAGGTGTTCTATTTTTGC